TCACAGCTGCATTGGCTGAAAACGTCAAAATAAAAAGCCCCTATTTTGTTGATTTTGCGGAAGTGACGTGAGGGACGTCGAAATAAATTTTGAGATATTTTGACGGTGCGGATTGGTGGAGATATTTTGACAGTGGTTAGAGTTACAGCGCCGGGTGAGTGAAAGGCCCATGCTTTCCACACCCAAACATCATTCATACAATTCTGCTTACGCCATACATCTGCGACGTTTCCTCGGACGGCAAGAAAAGCCTAGGCAGACCCCGTGCTGACAGTGAAACTGAAAATTAACGCGGAACGGCTTACATAATTCACGGCCACTTTGTACCTCTGTTCATCGCATAAAGGCCTCCAGGAAGTCCCCAGAAAATAAACTGCACGAAGAGGAGAGGGATTATCCCATACCCCTGTTGCGAGTTTCTTTTCTTGGTATCTTTAATCTAGCCTAGTTCTTTTTTGGTGGTATGAGGATTCTGTCCAGGCATGTGGGCAATGATCTGTTTCAATAGCATACTATTTGTCGCAGCTTTCAACTTGTAACGTGACAAACAGCTCATCTCATGTGTTGTGGTAACCGTGGCGTGTCGGTGGATGACGGGAAACGAATTTTGGACCAGAAAAATTAGTCCAGTGCCGCCAGAGTGATGCCACATTGGTGAACGCAGTGTGTTTGCTGCAGCCCCCTTGGCAGTAGATTGAGTTTCAAGTTAATGCGCTAAGGAAATGAGGGAGATGAGGAGATGAGAACGCGTGGAGACATCAGAACGCCCAACCCTTATTGGAATGATTAGTGGGTAGACCCAAAACTAGCTGCCTTTGTCTCCACTCCACTCATCGAATGCGAGATCCGAATACCAGACGCTGGCACTCCGTGTTCTACAGCGTTCGACGAGTGCAGTAGAGGCAAAGCCACTAATCGTACAACCAGAGCTCGCCGTTCTGGCATCCCTGTGCACTCTCATTTCTTCCCCTTCCTCACTTTCTCGGCGAATATGGCACTTAGCATTAATGGAACGGTCGCACAATTGCCATACATGTCAGATGTTGACACTCTTTTCTCTGAGGCGCAATTGCGTCGAGCAGGATGGCTAGGTTGATCATCTACGTGCGTGGTTTAAAAAGGTCACATAAGTGACGGAATGGCGTCTGATTGGTTGGGTAAATTGCCTCCACCAATCGGACGCCCTTACGTCACTTTCATGACCTTCTAAAACATCCGTGTAAACGTCCAACCTAGCCACCCTGCGCTTGTTTGTCTCGCTCCGTGCAGTTTGAACACGACTTCATCCGACGTTGTTGCGGGCTCGATTTTGCAAAACAAAGACGTGCCCGCAAAGGTCCCCTCAAATCCACTTTGTCACAAATGTGCTTTATCCGTTTTCATAAGGAGAGCAAAATTTTGGAAGAAGGTTGGAGAGATTCGTGGTTTGCTTTGACTGCCACCGCTCAGTGCAAGTGAATTAGAAGCAGAAAGTTCTGGTAAAAAAAAATAATGAAGTGTGAAAGTGTTTTGACCGCGTCAACATTGTCTCGTTTAAGTGCCTCGTGTGTGCTTCATCCTTGCTATGCCAACTTGCACATTGTTTTAGTTCTTGTCCCTATTTACTTGCAAGTCGTTCACCTAGCTTTGGTCTGCACAACAATGTCTAGGAACCGTGTTGATGATAAACTGTATCTTTCTAGACCAGAGGTCTTAAACTAATTTGAGAGTAGAGCCCAGATGACCCACCCCGAAAGGTTGAGAAGCGACTTAAGGCGAGGGGAGGTCAACAGATCTCATACCAGGAACCTTGTGCTTTCTGCTTTTTGTAGACTTGCAGTTTGGCCCGTGATATTTTCAGCTCTCATTTTGCTATGGGCTACTTTGGACCCTTGTGAGATGTGACGTGCTAGTATTTCAGTACAACCAGAGTGCCGAACCGGAACCAAACCGGAACCGAACCATTATCTTTTAGCCTAACCTGAACTCAACCAAACCAAAATCTTCGCCGCCATCTTGGAACTGAACCGGAAAAATGTATAATGGTAGCCGGTTCAAAACTGTTCAAGGTAATTATTTTCTTCTTTAGAGCGCAGCTCTTAGGCACCCGTTTCCGGCTTGAGCGGCGTCGCCGTCGGCGTCGCTGTCGGCATAATTGCGCGGTGCATTATGGGTAAATTTCCCCGCTAAATCTAGCGGAAAAATTTCCCCGTAGATTTAGCGGAAAAATTTCCCCGCTAAATCTAGCGGAAAAATTCCCGCGCTAGATTTAACGAAAAAATTTATCCGCTAGATCTAGCGGAAAAATTTCCCTGCAAAATCTAGCGGAAAAATTTCCCCACTAAATCTAGCGAAAAAATTTCTCTGGGGGGTCACGTGACCCTCCCCCCGAAGTCACGTGACCCCTGAGGTCATGTGATACCCCCCAGGTCACGCTACCCCACCAAGGTCACGTGACCTTGGTAGGGTCACGTGACCCTACTAAGGTGCTTGTGTACGCAAGACTTCATTTTTGAACGTAGCACAAGCAAGCGAACGGCAATGTAGCTGTTCATCTCATAGAATTAAAAGGCTGCCATAAAAGCTATTACTGTCTTTAGAAGTGCTGATCTGAGCCAGTACTGTAAGCCAAAAAAATTGAGGCTTGCTAATATAATTTCGAAGTAAAATTGAAAAAATTGACAAGGTCGTCTTTGCAGTAACGGTGTCGCAGGGTGTACATAGACAGTATCGGGGGTGCGCGTTATGGGGATCATCTTGAAATAAAAAAAAAAAGCAAACACGCTTTAGGTGATTGGACTAAGAATAATACATTACTTCGAAGCTTGCTTGAAAGAGGTGCATGTTTTTAGCAAACATTGGTATGCAATAATATTTCAGAACATAAATTCTTAAGCAGGAAAGGTGCGCAGACCAGGGTTAGAACAATTAGACTTTTCGCGAAAAGGTTGCGATGCGCAGGGTATTATACAAATGGGTTGAAAAGGGACAGGTTCAAACGCAAAGGGTCTTTCGAGTATCGGTTGAAACCGGACGAGTTCAAATGAGAAGGTCGTTTCGAGGATGGGTCGAAACGGGATGGGTTCAAACGGGAAGGTCGATTCTGGAATGGGTCGAAATGGGACGGGTTCAAACGGGAAGGGGTTGTTTCGGGCTACACCCATTTGCTGAGCCTGGTGCTTCATCGTGCAACTAAACAGCTGGTTCTGTGTTTGAGGAAATCAAACCTGCAATTGATGAAGAAATTGATAAAAAAAAGCACAGGAGAGCTGGTGAATGACATCCATAGTAACCCTGAGACGTAGGAACAAAAGATTGAAGCACACCTAAGCACTTCTTATGAGTTGTGAATGCGAAAGCATGTACATCAATTTTGCTCCACGCGTGTTGGCACGCTGACTGGCGCTGACGGACGCTCAGCGCCATGAGGTGGCCGGTCGTTGAAACTGACGCGCAGCGTCAGTTTCAACCATTAACCACCCCATGGCGCTGCGTGTCCGGCGAATGGGAGCCTGGTCGACGCACGCTAGCCAATGGGGTCGCAGTGGTGTAAAAGGTGCCGTTGGCTGTGAACGCGCGCTAGCCAGTGGGATCGAAGCGGTGTAAAAGAGGCGTTTGGCGTGGTTTCAAAGCTGACGACGTCGGCTCGCTTCATGAGACAGTTAATACTTTTGCATTAATAAAAAAACGGACAGAACAACGAAGTCTCTAGAGACTTCGTTGTTCTGTCCGTTTTTTTATTGTTCCTACGTCTCAGGATTACTAAGGATACAATTGATGCTAACTAGAGGTTGCAGAGCAGTGGGAAGACAGAAGAGAGACTATCTTTTCAGTTAAACAGGCTCGCACACATGGGGAAACATTTCTTTTATTATTTACAATAACTAAATTACATTTTTACAGTAAAAATAGTGACTCTAATACTCGGTGGTTAATACTTCTTGTTAATCCTTCTTTGGCCTAATTTGTCAGTAAATATTTCTAGACTAGTAGCCAGAAAAGTGTTTTGGGAGGAAGCCGCCCGAAATGTCAACATTGCACGATACGCAAAACGCGCACGTGACCGAGAGGGTGCTTACAACTTTTTTTTCGCAAAGACTTTTTTTTTTTAAACAAGGATTTGTTTTTGTTTTTTGGGGCACGGAGCCAGCAAAATATTTTTTTTTTCATCAAAATTAGAAATGGTCACCGGACATGGTTATTCAATCTTATCTAAAAACACCCTTCTGTTACTTCATTTTTGAGTGTACTTATTTCAGTTTTTTCCAATATTTACTTTTGCTGCTCCCTACAATATCCTATTGTAACATTACAATGCGCTCATACACTCACTTCATTCAAATCTCTCTCGTGACCATTGATGGTTTTGATTCCGCAGGTCGACTTTCAGGAAAATTGTCCCCAAAGAAAAGGGGAAGAATGCACGTTGGTGCCTCGGAGAGACTCCTCCCCACCAACCAAGTTCACTTCAGACAGTGTGCTGTGGTTGTGCTGCTGCTCTTGTCTCCGTCTATGCTCTGGCTTGAAGATGCTGTAGCATTTTCTCTTTTCCAAGTTTTGGTGAAACAAAGTATAGTGCAGGGATCTCGAACTCATTGAAGTGTGGGGGCCGGATAGCCTACCCCCTAGAGGTCGAGGGCCAACGTAAGGGTGTGTGTGTGTAAGTGGAAGGGTCAAGAGATTTTAAGGAGAAGGGGCCTCATGCTCTCTGCTTTTTCTGAACGACATCTTTGGCTCTGGTTTGTTTCCAACTACTTTGGGTTTACCTGATGTGATAAAAATAATAAAATGGCAGCGTCCCATCAACTTGCTGGCTTTTTTAATAGAACAAGAGAGCGAACACACGGCTGTTCTCGTTGCTCAATTCACTAAAAAATTAATCAAGCTTAACATGTCTAAGAAAGGTCTCTTCACGCGACAGTTCTTGCTTTTCTGACGATTTTTATAGCAGCTGTATGAGAAAATACTTGTATTTTAATGGTGATATTTTCAAAAGACTGGAATAGTGCTCGTAGCTTTACCTTTGACAGTTGCTCCTGTTGAGAAAGAGTTTGTGCAGCAGAGGTGCGTCTTCGAGCGAAGAGATTGCGCTTGCAGCCTGCGAGCAGAATCAACATACAGGTGATGAACACAACAAAAAGCTGGGAAGTAAAAATTAAAATGAAGCTTATGCTCAACTGAAATATGGATTTACAAAATAAGGCCGCAGAAGCGTTCAAGGGACGCTACAAACTCTAAAACATCACTTGTACACCGATATCTCAAACGGAAGGGTGCTATCAAACGAGGGCTACGACGTCATTGTCCTCCTGGAAAATTTGAAAATATGAAGAAGCGGCTTCGCTTCCTCGCTTTGGTTCATCAGCTTGACGGGATGAGCAAGGAGCACAGGGAACGAGGATCGTAACGTGACTTGTCTCGTCAAACGTATTCAATCACGCACTTCTTTTCCAAAAATACAGCGATCCGTTAGAGATATCGCTGTACGAGTAATGTTTTTGGGTTTTGCAGCGTCGCGCCTATCCGTCCAGCCTTGTTTTGTGAGCTCGAAATTTCGGCTCAGTATCCCTTTAAAGGGGCAGTTTAACGGTTTTAATGTTGAAAGAATTGCCAGTTTGCATTTTTTATATTGTTTATACAAGCCCAAATGACCACCGCTGCTACACTCGCCGTCAGCCCCGTGGCGAACCGTCCTTTGTGTCAACCACTCGCCGCGACCTTCGACGAGGCTAATCCTTTCAAAGTCGACAATCGCGGAGAAAGCGGCTGGGGTCTCTGAAGGGAGGGCCCAAGGGGAAACCACATGAAACCCCAGAGACGTCACTCGAAAGTCGGCGTGGAGAGTTGAGGGGCACTTCGACCTTCGATTTGTTTCATTCTTTTTAAATAAGAACTAGCCCTCGCAAGAAAATGCGGCTTTCGGTTTTTCGTTCTATAGGTGACGCAGATTAATTTCTGCAGTTAATTGGCCAAAGTCTGAAAATCGTTGCACAGCCCCTTTAAAGTCCTATAAAGCGAATTATGCATCGAATAACTTATGAACGTTCCCCGTTGGCACGTTCGCTTTCCGCGTGACGTAGCAGCCACTGCGCCGATACCATGCGCAGAGCAAAAGCCGCCGGGCAACCTTTGCCAATTTTTCGCAGCATATTCGTCCCATGGAGTTCAGCCTTATCATAAAAAGAAGTATAAACTATGTGAGTTCATAGAGTGGAGCTACTTTTCAAATGGGAATGTGTCGGCGACATGAGATCATTATGGCGCATGCATTTCCGTAGCAGTCGACACGTGGAAACAGTCTCTCACAGATGGCTGCCTGCGGGTCGCGTCCCAGGGAGATGCGTTCCGCATGTTTGAGACCCCTGCGCTAATGTTTAAAGCTATAAAGTATACAAGACTTCTCTGCTAGGATTGTGCTGAATTCCAAGCTGTGCTTGTTTTTCGAGTGGTATCTTCTTGCGTTAACTTCCCTGTGGTGCTGTGGCATTTTTAAAAGCATCCCTACAGGGAACAGATTCATCGGTAGCCGCAGCCGTGCCCTACACCAATTACTGCAATTTGAGATTTTATAGCTCCTCAAGGAAACAAGACAGGCGGTCACCCATTGCTGCTTGTGGCCAAAATGATGCGAGCTGCACTGAACCGGTCGGAGAGAGATTAAAGCTCAGAGAAGCTCTGCTGCAATGAGGGTTTGGCCATCTGTTTTTGCGTCACCTTAAAGCATGATCACTTTTGTGTTGTAAGTGCTTGTGTACTTTGACTTTCCTTGTTTTCTGGCCTTTGATTGAATCTGTGACTTTGAAACGCAACGAAGCAGAAACACGTGCGTGCAACTTTGTGTTAAAAGGTGGCATATGTTAGCCAAGTTGGTAATGTCTGCTTGCTGGTGTCAGAGCCTAGAGAAACCATTTCAGCATCGGCAAGTTAAGAACTCTCCTCATGTTGTTTCACACGTGTTCCCAACAGTGAAGGCTGAGACATGCTGCTGGGACGATCGAGGCAGCCTTGACCTTCAGGGCAGCATTGGCGAGGCCTCTTCCTTGCAAGGCAAGTTAGATTGGCGGCAACCCAGCAGTCTGTAACGAGAGGATGTACCAGTGTCTCCTGCCCTCATTCCAGTTCTTACAAATGCAGTTGTAATGCACAAGAAGACGCACACAAAGGGAAAGCCTCTTTGGTGCGAGGTCTGCCAGAAAGTTTTGCACAAAGTACTATTAGATTAGTGATTTACAAAAGAGTTCATTCTGAGGAGACCCTTACCAGTACAACATTTGAGGGAATGTACCTATTTGCACAAAGATTCTACCCGTTTATTTATGGGAGGACTCGCGACTGTGAGTGACCGTACGGTTGTGAGACCTACAAGCAAATGTTTAGGTGAAGAAGGCATTGAAATAAGCACCGGGAGAATGTACACAAGTGACGGATTTTTGTTGCACAATATCTGAAGGTGATTTGCAAAAAACTATGTTTTAATCTGTGTTTCTCCGCCTGTCCAGTGTTTGTTCACATAAAGAAGTTCAAAGTAGAGGCATATTACTTCTAAACATTACCAGCCATTCCGACTACCACTTAAGGAAAGGCCGCATACCGATCGACCGCTGCAGACATTCGCCGTGACCTCAACAGATTGTAAGGTGACACAAATAGATACAATGAAGCATGCAAAGATCCCAACCACATTGTCGTTCTACACTTCTACAGCTGCTGCCCCCAACTGTATGGTCGTAGAAGTGTGAACCTGAATGTTGCAAGCACTTCTTAAAAGTGGGTTTGGCATCTGGTTCTAGAACAAATGGTTCTCGAGATACTTCTAGATGTGTGAAACTTTGTGCTAAAGGCAGTGCTGATTACCAAACTTGGTACAAAGTTTGCATGTTAGCACCAAAGCCTAAAAAAATATTTTAGAATGTCTGCAAGAAAAGAACTGTCCTCATCCTGCTTGCCTGTTCTCCCCAACAGTGCCGGCCGAGGTAGGCTGCTTCAACAACGGGGACAGCAAGAGCGACTTCCCTTCCCTGAGAGGCACACTGGACATGCTGCAACCCACGACACAGTCGCGACAGAAGGATGCACACCATTGTCGGTTTTGCCCTTACTACAGTCGTTACACAAAATTTGTCACCATGCACGAAAGGACTCACACAGGTGAAAAGCCGTTCCCTTGCAAGATTTGTCATAAGGCATTTGCTAAAAAAAGTTACTTAAAGCAGCACATGAGGACTCACACGGGTGAAAAGCCGTTCCGTTGCGAGGTTTGTCCGAAGGCATTTGCACTCGTTAATAACTTGGTGGTTCACAGAAGGGTTCATACGGGGGAAAAACCTTACCAGTGTAGCACATGTGGGAAGCCATTTGCAGAGAGATCCACGTGGTTGTCTCACGAGAGAATCCACAATGGCGAGCGGCCTTTCTCGTGTGAAACCTGCAAGAAAGCATTTGTAAAGAGAAGCTATTTGATTAGACATTGGAAGAGTCTGCATGAGCGAGGGATCTGCGACATAGATTAGCTGGAGGTGGCCTGTGTGGAAGGCTCCTTGTTTTGACATGTGCTTTCCTGTCTGTCGAATTTTACTGGCCCAAGTTTGTAAATAAGGGCATTTCTATCAGTTGTGAACAGCCTGTGCGATTGCCCTCCAAGAACAGTACTGCCATTGGGGAGTTTCTGTTTCTTGCTTGATCAGGGATGAACAGCTTCTATCCTGAGGTTATTTTCTTTTTGAGGCGCATAAAATTCCTTGTATGTCATAATTACCGATGGATGAGGAGTGTAGAGGTTTAACAAAGCACCCTAAACACATTTTTTTTAGGTTCACCCGACATTTTATAGATTTCCCTACATTTGTACCTTGTTTTGACACTCTGGTGTTGGCTGAATTGTATTTCAGATATTGTAGAAAAAATATTTACCTTGCACTACTTCCGCTTGGAGTTCGTCTTTTATGGACTTAATCACAAATAAAATATGATCTCATCCAAGTTATGGTCTTATTGCTTTCCTCCACATGAGCATTTTACAAGCAACGAGCAATACTAACTACAATTTGCAACTTTGGGCTCATGCACAGACAGTGGGTGTATTCGAGAAGGGATCTTTCGGTGGCCCCACCTCGCGGCCACTCCCCCAATGTAGTGAATAGGATTCGAGTAGATGACATGCCAAGTTGTCGCACAGACAGTCATGTTCGCTGGCTTCTGTACCAATTATTAACGGTTTATTTAGTTTTAAAAAAAGTTTAAAACATTTTTGTGAGCTCTATTTGCTGTATACAGTGCCACTGAGTCGCTTTGTTTGATGCAACCTTTAAAATGTCCCAAAAAAAAAGCCTGGAGCTTGACATAACAGGCTGAGCCGTGTGCGTCACACGGCTGTTCTCGGCGTCTCCAATTCTCGTTTCGTTGGATCTCTGGGGGCCGCTGGAAAGAAATTTGTTTTGCAGTTGCCGAATTGTAGAACGAGTTGTCATTTTCGTTGTGCACGCGCACACTGTTGCCATTGCATGGTGCCGCACACCCTTTGTGGCTCGTGCCGGCACCGACGCTTGCCTCCAAGTGACACGACAGATTCTGGCGAGAACTTGTACGGCACCATGCGGACCAAGTCAAAGTGATGGTTGTTTTGCATGAGCGGAGGAATTCCATTCTAAAGCCCCGTTGCGTAGCATGCGCCAACGCAAGCGCCAAGTTTAGCACCAGCGTGCATTAAGATGGCATACATTATTGTAAAACTCCCGAATGTCGGAGCACTCCGAGCCCAGCAGTTGTGATCGGCTAAGGCAACCACCCGAATCCGCCATAAGTTCATTGAACAAGGTACTGAAAACAAAAATCATTGCAACTTAAAATAGAAAGCATATTACAACGCTGATTTCAGTTTTATTTTGAAGTGCTTAGTACGCGTATGATTGCACGTTCTGCATCTGACACGGACTGCCTCCGACACCAATAAAGCATTCTGCATTCTGTGTGCCATGAAACGTGGTCGATCTTGATTCCCGGGTTGACTCAAGACCCTCCTCCCCTTCACTCACCTTTCACTGCTAAAGCATAAGTCGGAGACGAGGAGTGCAACATATATTTACAATTTTATTTGAGACAGATTTCGGCAGAACACGGGCCATGACGGTAATTCCATGCACGGATTCTGCTTTGCGTTGGGAACAGAGAGATGGGCATTAAGGGTCAAAGGCTTCATCAAAAATTATACATCGGCATTTAGTTTTTTGCCCTTCAAATACCATGTTTTGCACAGAAATAACATTTAAGAGCACAATAGTATCAATTAAAACATATCCAAACATGTAACTCGCTACAAGTTTGAATACAATGATTGGAAGAAATGAAACGAGAATTTGGAGAAATTGACAAGCTCGTGTGAGGAATGACAAATGGAAATAAACAAAACTAAATACATAAATATAATGTGAAAAGAAAAAAACAGCACAGTTTATTTAGTGTTGGGGCGACACCTTTAAGATATGTTCAGGAGTGCAAGTACCTAGGCGTTCTCGAGTTGTTCTGCTACCAGCCGACATTACACGGTGGATGAAGGAGTACCGAGGACAAGCACATCGGAGGCCGCGAGACCTCTTGCTATTGGTATGTTGTTGCGACGTTCTTAACAAAATATTGCCAGATGTGAACTCGAAAACAAGTAAGAAATGTATCATTGGTAGACTATGAGCAAGTTGTGGCATCACGTCCAATTGGGAGCAGAAAACCATCTCACTCCCACCTCGACCAAAATCAAACTCTTGGCGCGGTAGTATGACAAAAACCACATGACAGAACGAAAAAGTGCTTCGAGCAAACACGAGACGTCCGGCGCAACTACCTTGCAATGAGCACCTTGAAGAAGACGATGAGGTCATTGACCTCGGTGATCTGGCGGGGCCCGAGCACTCGCCGGTTGCCCAGGAAGGATGAGGCCGTCAGGTCCCTAGACACCACGACGCGCGCCTGGCCTCCTGCGGACTGGGTGACCACGATACCGTCGGGCCCTTCCTGGATCTCCCAGGCACCGCCCACCAGCCAGGGTAAGTCCTCTTGCACCTCCTGGAAGGTCAGGGCTGGAGGGTTGCCGTTCGAACCCCCCTCCTCCTCTTTGTCAGACCAGTCCGGGTCTCCATCCCCCTCCCACACGACCGCGCACATGTAAGCACCATCCTCGTCTCCCACGGGGGTCACCACGACAGCGTAATTGCCGCGTGCGGGGGTCGGCACGCTCGACGTTGAATTTGTGGTCGGCAGGGAGCTCCGATGAGCTCCGACGGCACCTGAGGACCGTTTCGGGTCAGCTGCAATCGAAGACGGCATCCCCGAAGAGTCGTCGCCCGAAGCGTCTGTGTTTGCGTCGGCTTCAGTCCTCCCGACTTCTGGAGGTACTCCCTCCGGTAGCTCTCTGGAGTCCGACGGTATGGGCAGGAATCCTTGAGTGTTGATGTAGCCCGGAGCGTCTACGTTTGCGTCGGCTTCAGTCCTTTGGACCTCTGAAGGTACTCCCTCCGGTAGCTCTCTGGAGTCCGACGGTATGGGCAGGAATCCTTGAGTGTCGACGTAGCCCGGAGCGTCTGTGTTTGCGTCGGCTTCAGTCCTTTGGACCTCTGGAGGTACTCCCTCCGGTAGCTGTCTGGAGTCCGACGGTATGGGTTGTAATCCTTGAGCGTCGACGTCGCCCGGAGCGTCTGTGTTTGCGTCGGCTTCAGTCCTCTGGACCTCTGGAGGTATTGCCTCCGGTAGCTCTCTGGAGTTTGACGGTATGGGCAGGAATCCTTCAACATCGACTTCGTTCAATGTTTTCCAACTCCTGCCCGGGTTCTTCGGCTCTGGGAAGGACCTTGTGCAGTCCTTGACGGCTGCGCTCGCACTGCCTATCTCCGTCGTTTTTTGCGAGCCCGACGGTGCGGGACTAGCGGCGCAGGAAGTTCTGGCCCCCTCGCCGGAACTCGCATCGTCCTGGCTCGTATCTTCAAGACATTCTTTTCCGTCGATTCGCAGGACGGTTGCCGCATCACGAACGTCGTATGCTTCGGACGCCCCGGGACCGTCTCTTGATGTGGAGGCGCCGAGCCGGTCCCGTCCGCCATCGTCGTCCGGTTTTTCGGGGATGCTCAGTGCCAGCTCGGACGGGTCCATTTCCTCCGACACGAGGTACTGCAGAGCGTATTGGGTGAGGACGACCTCCTCCTGGAGCTCACAGACATCCGCGTTTTCCCACAGAGGAGGGACCGGCGAAGCGGCAGGCGCTTCCGCTTCGACAAGCCCCGGTTGCAACGACGCACCGGACGGCGGAAGAAGCAGGGAGTCGTCGGCTTTGTCGACGGAGACCCGTACCTCCGACAGACTGACCGCAAGTTCAGACGGCCTCTCCTCCTTGCCGTCGTGTTCCAGATTTCCTGGTGGAGTCAACAGGGGCCGGGGCAGTTCCCTTTCTTCCGCAACGTCTTCGGGCGAATGCGGCCCCTCAGCCGCACTCTCCGAACCGCAGGCCAAACGTTCGGTGGGGGTCACTTCTCCGCCGTCAAGCCTATACTTGACGGGTGTCACGCCAAAGGAACTGGGTTGCTCCGGCACGGGAGGGACGACGCTGGCATCTCTCATCAACTCGGCGGTCGCCAGATCGACGTAGTCGCCTTGCGAAGATCCAGGTGGGGCGACTTCGACGTCGTTGCGTGGTTTCTCCGACGCCACGTCGACGGTACCAGATGACGCAGCCGCCAGACGTTGCTGCGTTTCCTCGGAAAATGGTCTCGTTTCTTCTGCGGACTCCAACTCCTTTGACAGATCGGGCGTGGACGAGCCTCCTTCCGACGGAATGGAGGCCTTCGAGGCGGGGACTCTGCCATCGCTTTCCGCCTCCTCCGACCGCTTTGCCGTGGATCCCGACGCCACGCATCTTGTGGGGGTCTGTCTGTTGGACCTCATCGACGCCCCTGCCGAGGAGGAAAGCTTTGATGCGTTGATGCAGGGCACCGCAGTTGGGGCGAGCCCCACGAGGCGCAACCTACGCCTCACAAAGTCGCCAGTGTTGAAGTGCTGGAAGCACACGCGGGGACTGAGGGGCCGGTTGCGTCTCAGGTTGATGGGTACTGCCTTGCGCCAGGCTGCCGCCAGCTTCTCCTCCTGGGGCAGGGCGAACATCCAGATGCCCCGGCTGTTGCCCGTGGAGGTTGTGCAGTCTCGGACGCAGCAGTGGTAGTTCTTGCCCGTCTCGCACGGCCTGCGGCGAGAAGAGTGGAGCACGAGCTGGGGTACGGGCAAACAAGGAAAATGACACGGTGGCTTGGTTAGCTTTCACTTCCGGGGGAGCTCCACAAAGGTAGTCACTCCTTTTCCTCAAAACTGAATGATGCATTGATAGACCCGTCTGAACTAGTCCCCCAAATTGCAAGTAACAATTTTTTTTATTTTTTTACAAAGGTGTTTAAGTTTTAAATTTGGTTCAAGAGTTGAGATGCTCTACTGGCGACAGTGAAAACGTCATATGTTGTATTATGAGGCAATACATTAGAGCCTGTTCCCAACGAGTTACAAAAGGTTTGAGGGTGTGAAATGAATGCTGGCTAAGCTTACGCTGGCAAAATGAAAAAGCAAGATGAACAAAATACCGTGTTTTTAGACTTTACAAAGTAAATGAGAGGTTATATACTTCAAGTAAAGTAGTACCGTAATATCCCGAGTCATTGCCCATCCCAACTTCGAACGAATATTGATTTTAAAAAAACATGAGTGATTGCCCACCCCTACAAAGACCCCAATGCAAACTCCGCGATCCACGAACATTCATCCTACCCGAATGATGCGGCTGTGGACCTTACGGTTGGACATGTCCGTGACAAAGGAAAACAATGGACGGAAAGACACTTTTCTTTGATTCCGCGACTCCGAAGTTGTACTACATGCATGCGAAAAAAAGACTATGGAGATAACAAAATTAAATCTTGTTTTGCTTAAAAAAAAAATGTTGGAAAGATAACACTAGCAGTAACCCATTCAGGGATTGCGAGATGAGCGAACTTCCCATATCCTGAAATGTAACCGCGGAGTGTAAGGCCATAGTCCGCCTCCACCGAAGTAAGGTCGCCGCAAACCCACTCCTTCTCCCAGAACGTCGCAACTGTGGTTGTGCAACGTTCAAAAGAAAGCTGAAAGACTTTTGGAAAAAAAAAAAACGAGTTAGAGGTGAAAATAATCCCTGGAGAAGGGGAACAAGAGGGACAAAGGACAAACACAAATCTCCAAACACAGCTAGGTGACTGGTGCGCGACCGAAAAAATCCGCCTGGTCTGGGTATCGAACCCAGGACCTCTCCATTACAGGTGGAGCGCTCTACCAACTGAGCTAACCAGGGGTTAGACGTCAGTAGAGCAAACGGGTTTTATCAGCTGCCACCAGTCTAACACCAACAAGGGTGAAGCTTGCAATTTAAGGTTATGATTATAATGCAATTAAATGCAAAGGTGCAAGCGAGCTGGAAAGTAAGAGGTGAATTCTGGTGCATTTCTATCCCGTAAATCTGAATATCACTTTCATTTTCTTCGAAGAAGTAACTAATTGCGAGAAAGCGCGAAAAACATCCGACCAGTTGTGACGTCATACTAGGATCTTGAAGCCGCCAAGCGCGTGTCGCTCGTGTGGGCAGTGCGTGCAATTGCAAGCTCGCCAGGTATATTTTTCTACACCGACACCAGTCGTGACGTCTCTTTCTGACCTTTTTGAAAATAGCAAGGATGCGCGTGCACAGCGTTGATGGACGTTGAAGATGCACGAGAGCAGAGATTCTGAAAACTCCTAACATGACGTCACGCCCCGAGAAGGAGGGGCGTCGGCGGCACTTCGAAATTTAATTTCTGCAGCCTCCGTGCACCTAATTGAAAAATAATCTTGATATTCGTGATCCTGGAAGCGAATGGAGGCAGTTGAAGTGTTTTTTTCTCAAATACAGAAGCACTTCTCTTAAGACAAAGAGAATGGGTAAATAAAGATTTGCTGGAACGCCACACACGTGCGGTTGTAGGGCGTCCCATCCCGAGCTCCGCGTTCCCGGTGACGTCCACGCCATGCAGCAACGCCGCCTCAACCCGCGTTGATAGCATGCCATGCACGGACATACGCATGTATGCAGCAAACAAGAAGAGTGCGCAACAGCCTGACGAGGCGCCCGACGTGGCCCGACGCCAAAGTATTAGCCAATGCGATCGCCGGTTTTCCCGCTACCCCAACATGTTAGAAACGTCACGGAAGAAACGTTTGCGCTGTAGGCCGATTAGCGGTGTTCATCGTGCGTGTGCAAGCAACAAACTTTGCAGTGGTAAAACATTCTTTCATGAGCATTTCTTGCATAAAACAATGAAACTAATTTGAGTTTTATGTATCTCTTGTGCAGCCCTGCTAGATATGTAAAGGAAAATGGGCATTTATATGGCTTTTTCTAAACTATTTGTGCTCGCCCACCGGGACATGGCTCACCCCAAGTCTTTTTATGAATTTCGAGTGACAGGGGAGTGGGCGATCACTCAGGATATTATGCTGCTTGAAAGTTATAAACCTGTAGATTTCATAAAAGGGGGCAGGTCTGCTGGAGCTTACTTGCCTCCCAGGGAATACATCCAGGTGTTTAGTTACTTGAAAGTATTGACCTCAATAGACTATTTACCAATGCCGCTCCATCGAGCAGCGCTGATTCCAAACTGCGCATACTTGCTGGGACTACCGCTGGCACCGTGGCCGCCATTACGCGGTATGTGGCTGCAAAGACCAGTAATCGTAGCACCCTTCCAGGTGCATTTTTATTGCAGCGCAGCACTGTGCAAGCAGTAAGGCATGAAGGATAACCACCAAACAGGAAGACATTTACTGTTTTGCTGCAATACAGCTGTCAGAAAAAAATGCATTCATATATAGTGCACCCCGTTTGGAACAAACCCACGTACAGCTAATTATTGTCGATATCGAACTCACGAAAAATTTAAATAAAAATACACGTAAAAAGTAATTTTTATAACGAACAACATATTGGCTATATCGAGCTCCCCCCCCCCCCGAGAAGGCTTCCAAAAACACGCAAACAATCGTCTTCCAGCCTGTCCCTGCCCCCACCAAAAAAAAAGTAGGAAAGAAAATTTTAAAAGCTCAAGCTGCAAACAAATAAGAGTGAAGAGAAGTGATTCAGAAGGGCAGAACACTAAAACAATACCCTCTGCATGCACGCATAGAAAAAAAAAATATATTTTTTTTCATCCCAAAACGGTTGCTTACAAAGAGAAGCGATTCAGAAGGGGAGATAAGCTAAAAGAAGAAACTCTGGTCACAACGAACGCATCGTGGAAGTTCCTTGTAAATGCTATATCGAATTACTTGCTATATCGAACTGATTGTAGCATTTCCTGCTGTTCGTTATAAACGGGTTTGACTGTAGCCGCAAGCGCAGCTGACAAAGCAGGCAGCGAGACTGTGGCCTAACGGTTATCGTGCTTGCCTCCCATGAGAAGAGACAGGGTTCAATTCCTGGGAGCGACGCGTCTTTTATTTATTCTCGCAATTTAATGTTCTGGTAAACTCGAGAGCCCTGTTGCTTCTTCGAGGTCCAAATGTTCTAGTTGCCGAACTTTCTACGCCGAATATTCCAGAAACCCACGCGGGTACATGAGGGACTCCGCATGGCGAGCCTAAGTCAGTCTCGCTCCAGCGCTTGATCCTCCTCTTTTGCCGACATCGACGCATGCGACAATAACTTACGTCTATTTTGTTTGGGGCACAAGTTCGCCCCAATAAACATTCAGTTTCTTCAGTTTTGCTTTGCCTCATCATTTGTCATTTGTGAGAACATAAACCAGAGTCCGTTAAGCGCATGCTCGCTACGCTCAAAATGAATTAAGTTGGGATACGCGTGCATGCAGGAGTGTTTATTGTGGCTGCTTGTGCACTAAAAAAAAAAATATCATAGCTGCGAGCACATGCACGTAGCTCTCCCGAAGGATACTTTATTTGGGCGTGGTGTATGAGCTATTCTGAAATTTGGGTACTATCCTTTCCCAGGTGTCCCACTGCTTTCCTTTCCAAGTAATTCATTGTTCAAAGCAACCAAGAAATTGTTATAAAATGTCAGGGAGTAAACATAATAACAAAAAATATACGAGGCTATAGGCTGAAGAAGCGTAGGCAGGCTGGCTACCTCTCGAACGGTGCATTTTTGTGATTTTCAGGACTTAAGAGGGGACACTACTCAAGAGGGTGAACTTTTGAATCTTTGACTTAAGATAAATTTAATTGACAATATATGCCGGCAGTCGTGAGGCATAATGCAGTGCAGTTTCATCTGTGTACGTTAATTGTGAAATAAATTATAGTCATTTTTATCAGGAACATTGACTGTTTAGGAAAAGTGTCGCTTGAAAAATAATGTAATAGCCAACCTTTTTCTTCACTAGACCTGCAGCAGAATGCCTGGAGAGTGCAACTGTGAAAACAAAATTTCCTAGAAGGAATTTTTTTATCCTAACATTGCTGTGAAAAATCCTTTTTTTTTTTTTTTGCCTTGCATGTCGTCAATAAAATTTAACATACATTTATAAAAGACATCCACGAAGTAAACAAAAAATATTCCATTCCACGGTTGCATTGCCTATAAAATTCCAAAAGCAATGAGTCTTTCTTTTTGTCCCATTAATAAACAACAGTTTCCATAAAGTGAAATTTATGCCAAGAAGTGGAACAAAGAAAAACGTGTTCACAGTGCTCCATTCCCTACTTTTTCTTTAGCATTGGTGGGCCCAAATAATGTATAAAAAATTAACTTGCAGAGTAAACTAATGAAACTTTTTGGGAATAGGTACTCTCTAGATGCGGGAGGCACTCACTTGATCGAATGACGTTTTAGCGAACGCCCACGTTTCATCGAACAACACTTTAGCGAATAGTAGGACGCCGCGAAGCGGCGTTTTCGGGTGGGCCAAGTGAGTTCATATTTTTGTAATGAGTTGCCGTAGACTGTCGCCGCGAAGCGGCGTTAAGCGCAGCGCGACGGATGGGTTAACGCGCGCCCCCGTTATTCGCTGAAACGACCATTCGCTCATATGTCGCCGTTCGCTAAAATGTCATTCGCTCTTGTGATATGGACCCTCTAGATGCTGGTGGATATACATGTGGCATTTTTCAAAATCAACTTTTTTGGCAGAAATATCTGAACTACTCAAGTGATGAAAATTAAATTTCCAGGAACATCTTGATTCTGGTATCAGAATACTTTTACCTTCGAACAAAAGAATCCTCGAATGAAATTTGCAGCAAAAAGTGGAGCTGAGAAAAATGCATTCGAACATTGAGCTCCTTTACTTTGTTACTGCCTCGCAATGTGTTGAAAATATTTTATATCAACGTAACTATTTCATGTATGGTTATTAAATTTGTAGCAGTGTATAATTAGTTTTTAAAACCGAAAACCTAAAATTTGAAATATGGACTTTTTCAAAAAAATTTGAAATATAGGCCGATGTCCTGCTTTAAGAAATATAGCAAAAAAGAAATCACACAAACAACTTTCCTCGTGGTAAAGAATACAAAACATACCACTCCAGACCGCAAAATCTTCCGCAAAATGCCAGATATTCTCGAAAGCCACTCTTCGTAAAATTTGTGAAATATCGAGGCCACGAAAATAAAGTTAGCAGTATTTGCTTAAAACGTTCCTGAAAGGTCCAAGAGGAGAGAACATTGTGTCGAAGACTACCACTGCCACCGAAGCAAACAATCCATACTGGTGCTGCCGAAGACGTGATAAGGGACACAATCGTGGACCATGTCGGCAGCAGCAGCGTGACCAGCAACTCAATCGTCAATGTAAAGCGGCAACTCAATCAACAAAGTAAAAGACGCAACAAGCGACTCCATCGCCGATGTAAGAATGCAGCAGCAAAAACCAAGTCGCCTTTGGTTTTCGTCGACTGCACCTTTGGTTTTCGTCATTCATCTTATCGGTGACAGACTTGTCATTTACTATATCTAGTGTACCAATTTGGAATGTCAACAAAGCTGCTGGTCCACGATAGCAAATCGGAACCAGCAGCACCGGTGTTCGTGTTCGCGGGCGCGTACCACGTAATGGCAGCGCCTTGCCCGATCATAGAAGCCGGCTGCACTTTCGAGCGCCGTCGAGGCAGCGGGTCATAGTTGCCGAGAGCAATTTTGGGAAGGGCCTAATGAAGCAACACTTTATTTGCAAGATTTGTCGTGGGACATTTAGTATTACCAACGGCAAGTGTGCCAATGACGAATTCAGCTGCAGTCACATCATTGGCGAGTTCTTACGAATTTAGTATACTTTAGTGTCCGGATATCATTTTTTTTTTTTTTTTTTAATACTGAAATTTTGGAAACAGTAAAATGAATCTCCCCATCTTGGAGAATGTGGAACATATAAAAATAAGATAAACTTAGATAAACCTCGGGCGAAAGATTAACTCTGAAATACGCCCTCCATCCGAACGAAAGCAGAAAGCTCGCACTGGAGGCAAGACGACCGAAGCATCTCCCTGCCGTCCTCGCCTTCTCGGCGACTAGACTCAAAACCGTGCCCTAATACATAATCCGTATCAAAATCCCGCCGGTGCGATTGCCCTTCCCCGCCACTCACGCAGGCTTCACGGCCTCAACTTCCGAGCTTGAGAAATCCAGGACCTCGGAGGTGGACCTGGTAGGCGCCATTTTCGCTACAGGTAGCTCTTTGTCTCGACGGCCCACGGAAGCTTCGACGGCCGGGAGCTGGGACGCTGCAACGGCAGCAGTGCTCGCCTCCTTTGGTGACTTTTTTTCCGTGACTTTTACATCCAATTGCCTGGGGGGTGACGGTTCCGGCCGGGCAGGTGTGCGCGGCGAGGATCGCAGGTGTGCGCGCGAGGTTCCCCCGGAGGGGCTTCTCGACACAGCGGGGGGCGAGACATCCTTGCCCGTGCTGGCCGCCACCTTCCTTCCCCGGCCCCTGCGCAAGGAGGGCAGCAGTTGGGCGACGGACTTCGTGACGGTGAACCATTTATGATGGGCAGTAGCTCATGCCACCTGGCCAAGAAACCGTCGGCATGATTCCTCGCCTCGCCCTTCTAAGCCAATGGACCTTTTTCCATTAAGCTTTTGCACATGTGTACACCGCCTTTCCTGGCCTTGCTTCGAGCCGTCACCATATTTGCGGGGCAAAGTTTCGGTCGACCGACATATTCGGCACATAGCTTTGCGCGTATTTTGTCTTTTTTGGCCCTTCTCGTACGAGTACACGCTAGTACGGGTCATAAAAGATAACGAAGATCAATACAACGGCACAATGCCAATGTATTCTGACGGACGGAGGCAAGTTGGGCTGCCCTTCATTTGTGGTTAGAAGACAACCCCCCAGACGACGCTCATTACTGGAAAGAGGTCCATTTACTCCCCATCTACATTTTTGTAACTATCACCGGGAAGTGCAGCCCGGCAACAGTTAGTTTGCCCGACAACCCCAAAGGACGACCTTTGAGGGATCGGGCAAAAAAATCTAGAAACATTACCCCCCTGCCTCCTCCTCCCGGCGAGGCCAATTTTCCTCCGGTCAAACCTAGTCGGCGTTGCCTCAACGTCGAGCCCCCTGGGAAGCGAAGGCGAGACTTCGAGTAGGAGCAGCCATCATCTTGGTGCTTCGAGTAGTCGCCGTCAGTCGTGCGAAGTGTTACCTGAAATCTCAGAAAGTGCTTTTCCATCCCCCAGAAACACAAAGACGGCCCGTGACAGAGAAGAACGACGTTGCCCGAGCTTCCCGACTTTCTTATCCAGTGCTCGGGACTTCTACGCCCAACCGTCGGGATTGCTACGTACAACTGTGCGGCACTTAGAACGTTTCTGACGACGTTCCTGTTGCTTCGGGGCCGCTTTCTTTAGAAGCGCAGTCGGAACGGGACGCTAAAAGCACCGGTCCGAGACCGGTTCCATGCACCATACCGTTACGTTGAAGACTGCCCCCTTGGCAAGCTTGCTACCCTCCCGGAATCGAGGCGGTCACGCGGCGAGCAATTTGACTAAAAGGTGCCCCGTGGCAAAAGAGGAAGTGTGGAAAAGCGAGTGCGGCCGATCGCATGCGAGACCGAGCCGTGCTCCGGTAGATGACGTCCTCTCCGGAGGGCAAACGTGCGACACCTCGGTTGCAAATGCTTCGCCGGTCGACACACAAAAGGAAAAAGTACCATATCTGCCGGACTATACAGTAAAACCTCGTAACGTAATTGACTATAACAAAAAAAAAGGGGGACATAACGAAATATTGCAATCCCCTTCGAAAGCTTCTATAGATGGCTATGTATTAAATTTCTCGTCTTAACGAAATAAAATTATTTGAGCATTGGCTATAACAAACTTTTTCATTCCAACGAGAAACTGAACTGACACTTTGCGCGAAAAAATTAATTTACGACGGAGAAACTGAACTGACACTCTGCCGTTGGAGCAATGTGATCTCGGTCACCTCCGCAGTTGCTCCACCGAGCTTTTCGGGCTTTCCAAGTGCATGCGCTCCCGACACCATCTCTCGAATAAATGGTCAACTACATCAACTTTAGCATCCGCTAAAGTTGATGTCGCCTAAAAAAGAGAGGAAAAGTGCCACAAGCGTCACAAGAGTCGGTTTGTTGATTGCTCTTTCTGTCCATTGAACGCTTTGTGAGGATTTTTGCTGCTGCTACCGCAAAACTAATTGTTCGACAGCAGCAAGACGAGTAATTGCAGCTCTAGACAAAACAGATCTAGCCTGTGAACTACAGACCAGAAATATGATACCGTCCAAGGTATTTTCCTTGAGTCCCTATCATCTCGTCGAAATGCGTTTCACGGAAACACGATTCACGGACTTTTCATATACAAACGTTTCATAGATAACGTTTCATGGACACACGCTTTGTTGACACTGCAATGATTTGTAGATGCGTGCTTTGTAACGTTTCGTTGACAACAAATTTGTTTTACTAAGTGGATCGGATCGCATTGCAGAACTTATTTCATCGGCCGGAAGCACGCCAGAACAAAAGCGGGCTCCCCCAGGCGGCTCCTATAGGGCTAAAACAAATTCGCTCGGCCAGGCAGAAACTTCGGTGTATGCATCAAAGTGACCCGAAACTTCCACACTCTGTTTCACAGAAAAACGTGTCCCCTTCTGAAAGCGCAAAACACGGGCTTTTAAAAAATTTACCTCGAGGCACCGCCCTAAAAAAAGAAAAAAGAACCCCAAGAAAAAAAAAAAAAAAGAAAACGAACAAAGTGCAACGTACGGCAGTCGGCCGTCTCTTGAGGCTCCGGATTTGCCCGCTTCCCGAGAGCTGGGGCCTTTGGAACTGTCGACGCTCAGAAGCTTGGCAGGTGCAGACGACTTCACCCCGTATATTTTGAGAGGCCGTCCAACCGGGTGCTTTGCAGCAGGGCCCGCTTTCTTTGTGCCGCTGGATGGAGCCGCTTTCGCACCGGACCCCTTCTTGAGCGGAACTGCTGGACAAAAAGAACCGGGAGAGCGTTGCAGGCAGGCTGCGGACATCCCGCCATTCGTTTCGGGAACAAGACCTGCCAGCACTCCCTGGCGTATCTTTGGTTAGGACAGGTCGGATGTCTCCCCTAAATACAGCAAACAAGCACCTTACGCTTGCGCCAGATTTGGCAATTCACGGCAAAAAATATTTGCCATAAACGAGGGTGAAATTGGACGAGGAACTTTAAAAAGGCGGTGCAATGATTTTCACGCTAAAAGAATTGGCAGCCCTATTTTTTACACCGTTTATCTTGGCACAGGTGAGACAGAATGCAACACCTTCCCCAGAAATACTGCGATTTTGCCCCACGCCTGCGAAAGAGAAGAAAAAGCACTTCTCTGATCTGCAGTTAGGTGCGGGAGTTTTCCGCAGCTACGGTTGACGTTGTTTGGAGTACACAAATTTTCGTGGCGCCGTCTGTTGAAAGTCAAGAAAACTGTTACTCCACTGTCACTATCCTCCCCGTCTTTGCCCAGGTGAATCTTATTTTGCCTCCATCGCTCACCCCACCCAACTTGTTACATTATTTTCAAATAATAACTGGCGCACACAAAAGCAGGGTTTCCCATTCTTCATTTTATGAGCAGCATCAAACGATTCCGCAATTAATTGGCTGAAGTTCAAACATCGCCGCACGGCCATTTCAACTTACGAAACGAGCTATCCCGGTACTGCGTCACCTCCTAACCCATCTGCAGTCCGTCAAGCACTGGACAGCAAGGGGTGGCAGTCCCGTCAAATCCCACTGTGCACGCCCGTGCGGCTCAACTGCTCTACAACGCCCATTGTCCGTTAGTGAAAGAAAGGTATGACGTAAAACATACTCGGGTAACAATAGCAACTATTTTGCTCTAACAGTAGTTTATTACTATGAGAATTTCTAGCGCAGACAAATTAACTAGAATTACGAATCAACTTCAAGTAGTAACAAAATTACTTTCCTTTGAGAGCTATTGTATAGTGGTATGGTTTCGTGTCTTGCTACACAACAATGAACCTGGAAAAGTAACCTCCGATCCGGTTTTATTAAAATTGGGGAAAACAAAGAAACCTTGAATTGCAGACAACCTAGGATAAGAAAGACCCCATAGACGGTGACAGGCTAGGAGCTTGGTAAATGTCACACCTCAAGCGTAAGCCTGGCAAAAGGCAACGGGGGCATGCAACCCGTCCCCTACTATAGCCATGTGGGAAGAAACCACCTACACTTTTACTTTGCGTTCTCCCCAAAACAAAGACTGCACCATGGCGGTAGGAAAAAGAAAATCGACTCCTGCCGCCTCCTGGGGTGCACAAACACCACTAAGAACAGTCAAACCCAATGCACTAGCATTTCAATGTTGTCGGAACGAGATCGACCCAAATACAGATTGGACACGAGCGCTGCATCGGAGTTCAGCCAGGCTTCGTTCCAACCGATGCGTCGAAGGACGATTGGCCTTCTTCAAAACCCCGTCGAGCAACATTGGTGGCAGTTATTTTTTAGGCACAAAATGCGCAAATGGATGCTTCACTTCGTGCCGACTTTGCCGGGGGGCGACATTAATGATTCAGCACTATGGTCTTCTCATCGCGGAGGTGTTGGTCCGATTAAAGGGGTCTGCGGCCGATTTGGTGCCACCAAAACGCAACGTCTCGAAGCGGGACGTTCTGTGTTTATTTTTTTGTTCCGTCCGCTGCGTCCGGTTTTTAAAAAATGTGTAACACAAACCGGCTCATCTGTCTGCTCACTCCATCTCCGATAGTTTCATTCACTCGGCCGCGAATGAAACCAGTCAAAAGTTGTGCTTGTCCCCGTTCGCTCCTCCCTGTTCTGTCCTCCGTGCTTGCGCATACAAGTTTACTCCACAGGAGACAGGTTTGCAAGCCTTGCCTTAGCTCGAGCTGGTGTTGGGTACATCTAGTACCAAGGGCTCCCTTGCCCATGTACTTTGTTCTTTATGTTTTAAATGCTTTTGACATGCTCAAAAAAGATGCAAGGAGGAGTGATTTTCATATAGGGACAAGACTGGCATATTAGCAATATATAAGCGTCACCGGAGTGCTGGCGAGTCTTAAACACACTCGATATTCCTTTCAATTGTAATTTTGCTTAGAATCATAGCTTGTTTTTCCACACCTGCTGCGGAACACACGTTGGGACTGAAATGTAATGAAGTTAAACATTGGACACCGATGAAGAAAAATATGTCAACTAAAGCAATTACACTTTTACAGTGTTAATCAAGGTACGTACTATTCGGTACGACCCAAATAACCAACGTGTTGCGTGTTATTTTCCGGCGAAGAGACAAAATGCACCCGCGTTTTCCCATAGGAATGCACAGGAGAACCTTAAAAGTAGACTGGTTGCTGTCTGCTTCAAATTGCGTCACGGAAGTCGCATAGACATTAGCGCTAGTTGAACCTCTAGCGTACATAATAATAGGGAGTTTTAGAATAGCGCACGCTAAAGCTTTGCGTACGCAAAGAATAGCGTCGTCGCCACTGCGCATGCTCCGAATGCAAACCAGGTTTTGCGCTTTGCGTGCGCAATTTTAGCATGCGCTATTTCTCGGAAATAGCGTGCGTATGCAAAAAGTCTTTGTGCTTCTTCAAGGAGGATTCGTGATGAAAAGTTGGCTAAAGCCAAGACGAGCAGAGTTAAAAAAATGGCGGCTTCCAGGATTATGTCGGCGGCTGCTCTGGCGGCGTCGTGAGTGTGACTTCGGCGGCATCCTCCTCACTGCGATTTTGGATATGAGACAACATTGTACTCGGTTTGGCAACGATCACCGGCAACTTGATGCTTGTGACGCGCGAACATTTCTCGGCGAAGGTACGATGTGCAAAGGTCAGTACACGAGACCTCTCTTGCCGACGCGACGCAAGCGGACACGACCAGTCAACCGCTCGCGTCGCATTCTCATTTTTAAACAAATCTAAATTAGTACTTTGAACCCAAAAACTTGTTTTTTTTTCCAAACTTGCAGCATTTCGTGCGTGAAATAAAAATTGCGACTGTATCTTGGTGGCGTCGCAAGCGCGAGCTGCTTGGGCTTTTGCGTCGCGATGGAGAAACGCTATTCTAAAACTCTCTGACGTCGCGTGCGCTAATACAAGCGCTAAATTTAGTGCTAGCATGCGCTAAAATTGCGTACGTTATTCTAAAACTCCCTAACAAGGAGTTTTCGAATAGCGCACGCTAAAGCTTTGCGCACGCAAAGAATAGTGTCGTCGCCACTGCACATGCGCCGAACGCAAACCACGTTTTGCGCTTTGCATGCACTATTTTAGCACACACTATTTTAGATATTGCGTGCGTACGCAAAGGGTCTTTGCGCTCCTCCAAGGAGGATTCGTAATGAGAAGTTGGCTAAAGCCAAGACGAGCACAGTTAAAAAAATGGCGGCCCCCAGGATCATGGCTGCGGCCGCTTTGACGGCGTCGTGAGCGCGATGTCGGCGGCATCCTCGCGACTGCGGTTTTCAAGACGGGACGAGATTGCATTCGGTTTGGAAAACCCAGTAAGGTGGGCAACAATCACCGGCAACTTGATGCATGCGACGAGTGAACATTTATCGGCGAAGGTCAGTCTTGCCGAGGCGACGCATGCGGACATGACTGGTCGACCACTCGCGTCGCATTCTCATGTTTAAACAAATGTAAAATTGTTACTCCAGACCAAAAATCTTTTTTCTCTCAAGTTACAGCATTTCCTGTGTGAAATAAAAATCGTGACTGTATCTTGGTGGCGTTGCAAGTGTGAGATGCTTGGGCTTTTCCATCGCGGCGGAGAAACGCTATTCTAAAACTCTCCTGCGTCGCGTGCGCTAACGCAAGCGCTAAATTTAGCGCTAAAATTGCGTACATTATTCTAAAACTCCCTAATAACTCTATGGTTTACACTAGCTCATTTAGTGGCTCTAGTTTACACCACAAGCTCTTTCAAATACGCTGCCAGGACTCCTGAAACCTCCTCCTCTGTGGAGACATTGCGCCAAACCCTGGTCCTAGGCCTCTATCCTCTCGACCAACCTGCTGCCGCTGTGAAAGGGTGGTGTATGACAACGTCGCGGCTCTGCAGTGTGACGGCTGTGGACGGTGGGTGCACCGCAAATGTGAATTTATGTCTCTTCCTCTGTACCGGAGACTGTCAACGTCCACGGAGTGCTGGTTTTGCGGTGCGTGCCAGCTGCCCCCCTTTCACGCCTCGCTCTTTGAGCCGCCGCGAAGCTCAGGTCCACCTACTCTATCGCAACCCGCCACCCCCCGCACTCTCTTGTCCTCGATCACCGGTCCGGTCGCCCCAAGAAACAACAACCGTTGGTCCCGCAACCATTTGAACATTTGGTATTCAAACGTCCGTTCTGTTCGAAACAAGATCAGAGACATCAGCGCTCTATTAGCATCGTCTCCATGCGGTACGGTGTTCGCTTTTTCCGAGGCCTGGCTCGACGCCTCAGTTCACGATGGTGAACTGGTGAACTGTGATCAGTACGTGGTCTTCCGCCAAGATCGGCGCACTGGTGCCCGTGGTGGTGGGGTGATGGTCGTTGTTCCATCCAGTGTTCGCTGTCACCGATGCATCGACTTAGAACATTCTGACCTGGAGGGAGTGTTCGTGGAATTGGGTTTCGGTTCCCGTTCCTTTCTTCTTGGTTGCGTGTACTGCCCGCCCACGCTCCGTGCTGCCTCGTATGATCTTCTTGGCATGTCCCTTGAGCGGCTTCACTCATACAAAACGTCATTCGAGAACATCTTTCTCCTGGGTGATTTCAATGCCCACATTGACTGGAGTGACTGCACCACCCCTGTAGCAAAAGACTCCCCTTCAGCCTCCCTTCTCAACATTGTGGAAACGATGGGCTTTGCACACATCTGCTCAACACTGACGTACTGCAGTTCATCCGGCACACCCTCCTTTCTAGATCTCTGTTTCGTCTCAAACCCAGCCCTCATCGCAGAGTGTTCTGTTCAAGAAAGCCTAGACCGCTGTCACCATCTGGCCGTCTATGTGCAATGCTACACTGACCTTCCTCGCATCGGTCGTCAGGCGCAGATTATCCATGCCTACGGTCACACAGATAACCCTCACTTGCAACACCTCGTTCACTACGCTCTGTGCTGTGTTGTACTGGATAGTTCCTCGCCTGAAGAAATGTACGAGCTCTATCTTGACTCCGATATCATTGCTCTCACACACGAAAAGCGTAGGCTTTTCCGCTGTGCCAGACATTGACAGTGCAACCGCAGCTACCTCGAGGCTAAGAGGCTACAAAAAACTATCAAGAAAGCTGTCCACCTGGCCCATAGGTCATATGTAGAAGAGATATCGGCCTGAGCAATGAAAGACCCAAAACTCTGATGGAGTTATATTAACTCTCAGCGTAGGCGCTCCCCTACGGATCCTTGCTTCATTTCATCTGGTGCCCCTTTGTCCTCACCACGAGATATAGCCTGTCTTTTCAACCGCCATTTCTTCTCTCTTTGGTCGGCTGGCTCCTCAAGCCCTGGAGATGCCTATTCTACGGTGTCCACCACCTTTTCTTGTACCACGAAACTATTACCCTCACAGAAGATGAACTGTATCACGCTCTCTCCCTACTTCGTGTACATCAGCGCGCTGGCCCCAACGGTCTCCATCCTCTGATTTTCAAGATGGCCTGCTTGGCCTGTCCTACAGTACCCCTCCGGATGTTCCGGCGTTTTCTTGACTCGGGGTCTGTCCCCACTGCTTGGAAGTTGTCACATGTGACCCCCATCCTAAAGGCAACCCACCTACCCTCTGACAATCCAGACTCCTATCATCCTGTGGCCTCAACCTTTGTTGCCTGCCGCACATTGGAACAGGTTATCAAAAAGCAGCTCCTTTTTCATCTCGAGTCCTCAACACTCCTGAGCCTGGCCCAACATGGTTTCCGACAAGGCCGCTCCTGTGAAACCGCCCTTGCCTCCCTGGTGCACACTGCGAGTGCCCATCTTGACTCTCACACACCATGCGAGATAGTTAAAATGGATCTCTCCAAGGCATTTGACCGGATCAACCACCATCTGCTTCTGCAACAGCTCCGCCGTGTTGGCGTGGACGGGTGCCTCTTGAGCTGGCTGTCCAGCTTCGTCACTGGACGCTTTCAGTCGGTTCGCTTTGCGGGAGCACTATCAGATCCCTGTCTTGTGGCATCTGGCCTACCTCAAGGAAATGTACTTGGTCCAACCCTTTTCATAATATTCATAGACGACATCCCGACCAGCCTATCTTCCACACCTTTCCTCTATGCTGATGATCTGGCCCTCCTTCACCCTATCAAAACGCCTGTTTCACACACCTCCCTTCAATCCGACCTTGACCATTGTTACCGGTGGTCCTTAGAGAACCTTCTGCCCTTCAATCTATCCAAATGCTGCTCCATGACTGTCACTTCACGACGACCTTCATCTTCTCAGTCCCACAGTCTCTGCCTTGGTGGTGTCCCTCTTCAGCAGGTTACCAACCTGCGCATTTTGGGAGTGTGTGTGGACAGTCGACTCCACTTTGGTGAGCACATTACACTAACCACTGCTAGAGCTCGTCGCCTACATGGTTTCGTTGTCCGCGTTACCCGTGGAATGAGCCCTGTGGCTTTTCGACAACTTTACACTGCCCTCGTCCTCCCCATCCTGGAGTACTGCTCCACAGTTTGGCATCCTCACCAGTCATCCCTGCAATCAAGCCTGGAGGCCGTGCAACGTCGGGCCGCATATATATATATATATATATATACGTGCGTCGTACCGATCCTGCCACGGAATTTACCTACAGGGGTACCACCCAAGCTGCGCTGTACCAGACCTCGAGATGGTGGAGTCTTCTTCACAGGAAACAGCTCGCCTCCATCCGTCTGTTTTGTCTGCTTATGCAGCCCTCCTACTCCGATATCCCAGACCGCCTTCGTCTCAACCTGCGAACTGGTGCCGTTCAACCCGTCCTCGCTCGTACGCTCCGACACCGCGAGTCGTGCCTGCTACGTGCGGCCTCAGTGTGGTGAGGCCTACCCTCTTCAATGACTCACTCCCTGCCATCTAAGCGTGAGGACATTAGAGCGCTCCAGAATGAGGCAGCAAGATATGTGTAGCTGCATCAATGACTAAGTGTATCAATAGTGTGTGTGTGCGTGTGTGTGTTTTGTTATTATTTATTTATTTTTGGGGTATGTAGGGTCAGTTCTGCGGGCGCACATGTTGCATGGGCCCCCCCCTTCCCGCAGAACTCGCACGCCCTCCATACTCCTCTTCTTTTTAAGTGCAATAAAGTATGAAGTACAGTCGGAGCCGACGCACAAGCGTGTTGACAACATAAAGACGTTGACAAGGCCGCTAAAGCAGAAGGGGAACAAAGTGCATAGACAAATCTCCAAACGGGTGCGCGACTGCAATAAATCCGCCTGGTCAAGACGCTACGGCAAGTGAAGTCAACACAATGGCCCACATTAGCTGAAGAAGTCGAATCTTACCTGCTTTACCGCGCTTCGGGTTGCGATCCTGCTTCGAAGCTTTCGCTTTCCTTGGTGCCATGATTTTTGAGCTGGGTTGCCTGGGTTGGCTGGCTGGATGGATAGGAGTTACTTATACACGGCTCTGGAGCTACGGCGTGGAGCTGTATCCATATTGGATGGTAGCTTGCGTCACCTAGTTACACCTTGCCCAAACCGTTTCTACTTGCCTTGTTAAGACTAATCACGCTCTGCTTTTCCTTCTTTTTAATTTTTTCCGAAGTCGATCTTTTTTATTTGTGTATTGTTTTATAGTTATTTTGCTTCGACGTTTTGCTCCGGGGGCTTACGGCGAAACCAATGAGGTTGGTCAGAACTTCAGCTTGGGCGAGTTGGTAATTCATGATAATGCTTCACAGCGCACAAGATCAGACACACTTAAAAACGAAAATCACGCATACAGGAAGAACCGAAACAGAAACAGGGTTCGGTTTTCTCGCACCCCTTAGTAATGTACTTACAACACATGTAATGTACTTACAACACATTCTACTCCGCTCACAGCCACATGATTTTTGGTAACTCTCTCCTCCTCTATATTTCTTCTTTCTCAAAGTCCAGTTTCGGTTTCGAGCGGTTGCGTCTTTTGACTTCATTAAAAATGTATGTGATGCTGAAAGCAAAGTACTGATTGAGTAGCCTTCTAAAGCAATTTAAATCGCCTAACAAAAAAAAAAAAAAAAAAAAAAAATTGGGAGGTGTCATTGTTTTTTTAAGGACACATAGCTGAAAGCCCCATGCTTTTTATACACCATCAAAATTTTCGCTGTTAATCTGTAATCCTGGTGCTGACGTCACAGATAGGTTAAGAGAAAGCCACTAAAACATATTGTGGCAAAAGACGAAACTTGACGCTTGTTACCTTTAAGGTGCGGCAACGCTGATTTACGCCGTGGACGAGAAATTTAGCCAGCGCAGTACGACCACTAGCCTGGGGTCTTTAACATGCGTCAAGCAGTAGTGACACGCGACTGCACGCCGGTAAGACGCTCGTCCAGGTCAAAACAAGCGGGGTTTGGAACTGAACTCAGGATTCCTGGGTTCTGCAGCATGAACTTTTGCTCCACCTGCTCCGAGCTGCAGCTTGCTAACACACTCGGCCACCAATCCCCCCTCTTCGTCGCCAATAACGAAGGGTGTTCCTTTACTGCGGTCTTTCGCACTCAAACGTTCCTAGGGTTATGAGATTGCCGCCCTCGCTCTACCGACAGAGGAGTCGTCACAGATTGTGGGCATGTCCCAATTGCAAGCAACAAAACACCCCAGTGTACAGAAACTTCAACACTTAAATGGCAACTCCGCTTCATTTTTGATATTTAGAAAACTATGTAGCCTTCTTCAGTATCATAGAGGAAGACCCCATGTCAAATATTACGGTCTAATTCTGTCTATATATTTATTAAACTGGCCAGCAAACCTTCAAATGAGCCAAGTCGGCGCAATCTGCCAACTCTAGCGTGCGATGTGAGGCGCAATCGTCAGCACAGTCAATGCGACGGAGTTTGAGCAGCCAACGTTGAGCCACTACGTCAGAGGCATGACTGCGTCATTCTCACGTCTTGTTTGTTTTTACTTCTGAGAGTGAAATTGAACGATGACGTCATGAGTTTCTCCTCCCGGTGTTGGCTGAACGGCGTCCACATGATTACCGTAACGTGGATGCACTAGTTTGTGTTGCCCTGCGCGCTTATCGGTCTGTTTCTCCGCTCCCCCTCTCCTCTTTCGTCTTCTCCTCTTCCCCCTCTCCCCTGGGCCATCACCGTCCACGCCATGCGAAGCGACCTGCCCGAGTCGCGTGCCTTGTACCTCGCTCCCTGCCGAACGTCACAAGACCACGTGGTTCGACGTGACGTCGCCATGACTCTTACGACCCGAGACCAATGTTGCCTGATGCAACCGAAGTTTCGGTTTCGGTATCAGCTGATGTTTAAATTAGGATTACACAAATAATATTCCAGATTTCGCGAATCCGAAGACGTGGAGTTGTTCAGTAGTGCTTTGTGAATTTGAATCACATGTAAGCCTAAATTTTTCGGAATTGAGCGGAGTTGCCCTTTAACAGGCAGCATTCCCTCAAGAATGGGGCGGAAAAATATGGTTGCGCACCCCCAATCATCATCAAGAGCCCAAGCAGCGTGCAGTTGGCAGACGAAACTGTAATAACGCATCCTTTAATCTTCTGGCAAAAAAATTAATTTTACATATTCATAAAAAGAAATGCGAAACGTGGCAGCTCATTCCTGCGAGTAAAAAAAGGTATCTCGGAAGATAAAGAAAAAAAAAAAAAAGAGAGAACTGAAATTGTACGTGTTTGCAACGCCGGCCTCATCCAGCTCCGGGCAAAGACGTTCGAGACGCGCATCACAAACTATTAGGGGGTTCGAGAATGCTAGCAAGAGGTCGCTCAAAGAACGTCTCGACAAACGGCACTCGAGCCACCCCGCGTTGCCCGAGGGAACTCAAACACTACTTGTGTTCGTCCAGACGGCATTCAAAGCATCCGCGGAGGTTCGAGTGCGCGACGCAATTATCCGGGATCGCAACCACAGTTTGCAAATGCGTGAGGAAACTTTCTGACAACGCAGCGTTCACGAGTTCAAGTTTCGCACGAGACGGGAGCGCCGGCACAGTCAGTCCTCTTGGCAAGTTCTAGGTCTTTTGAAATGCCACGTTCGGGAGGACATGCGCCCCGCAGACTCTGCGTCGGTCGGCAACGCCGTGAGTGGGCCTCGTTGTCCGGGCAGACACCGGTCAATTCATGATGTCGAGGTAGAGGTCGTCGTCGTCCGGGAAGGAGCCCCGGGAGCCGTTGGAGCGTGGGCTCCAGCTGTTGTCCGAGTCGCTCTCAATCTCCTCCAGGAGCCGGGCCGTGCGGGAGCCAAAGAGCACTCCGAGGTGGTGGCCGTCGCCTCCGACGTTTGGGGCCGGGCGCCGGGCGGGCTGCCTGGTGGCACCCGTGGCGGTGGCCATGGCCTCGGCGCTTCTCAGCCGAGAGCCCAGGTCGCCCAGGTTGCTGGTGAGGCCCTCCACCACCACGCCCAGCCGGTGCAGGGTGTCCCGCAGGCTGCCCAGCGCCTGGCCTGCCTCGTCCGCCTTGCGCCGCCACCCGTCCCGCTCTGCCGCCGTCTCTGTGGGGAGGGCAGTGGGCCGCTTCCAACTCAAATCTTCGGTCGTGTCATTTTATTATTTGTATCCCGTTTGCCGAAAGGTGGCGCAGACTAAAGGCCCATTCGCACACTCGTATCTGCTTAGGACCGAGCTCTCGTTACCTCTTACGACGAGAGAGAACACTGGTGCTATCTTTGAGCTGACCCTGAAGCTGCGTCTCACTAGAGCTAAGGTCTTGCGGCAATTGCGAGATCAAAACTTATACAAATATACAAAAAATGGTTGTTTCTAACATTGTCAGAAGTTTTTCAAGCGCAGAAAGGAAGGATAGTGCACCAAGAAACTACTGGGAAATATAAGGAAACTGAATTTGTTTCACGAATACCCGACAGATGACTTCAGTCTGTTTTTTTCAAAGCCAGAGATCACCACATGTTTTAAGAGGGGACACTACCCAAAAAGTGAATGTTTGAACCGCTTGTTTCATTTAAATTAGATTTACATGGCTTCTTTCTGTTAACGTTGAGACCATTTCTGCCAAACTTTGTTAACCTGGGCGACATACAAAAAATTGCAAATGTTCAAAGATGAAAAAGGGCGTGTCTGCATAGGAAAACTATCGTTTTGAAATTACTTATAAATTTGTCATTTTCATGTGTTATATTCCTTTAGGACAGTTCAGAGCAGATAACTATGGAGCTATATTTCTACATTATACCATCTTTCATGACAGAAAAGCCAAAGAAACACAAATACTGTTTTTTAGATTTCCATCCTTTGTCCAAAAGTTTAGTTCTTGAGCATGAAAAATGACAAAAATAAAAAGTACAAGTTCATAGTTATCTTCCCCTTAAAATTTCACCCCAGAAAAACTTTTAAAAGTGAATCCAAGTAATGACAAAACAATAGTTTTCCTAAAGTGAAATTTCTGCCTAAAACTGGAATGGAGAAAAAATGCATTCAAGGTGTTCCAACCTCTACCTTTTCTTTAGCATTAGTGGACCAAAAAAAATTTATGAAAAATTAATTATGCAGTGTAAACTAGTGAAACTTTCTGAAAATACTCTCTGGATGTTGGTGGATGTAAATATGACATTTGTCAAAATCAACTTTTTTGCAGAAATTGTTCTTTCTGGGTAGTGTCCCCCCTTAAAGGGGTATTCACACGAGGGAGAAATCCCGGGGATTTCTCCCCGGCACGCGCATACCAGGACGAAAACGACAGGCTTTGCGATGTGCAAAAGCCTCGCGTTTTCATCTCGTGATGCGCGCGTGCCGGGGAGAAATCCCCGGGATTTCTCCCTCGTGTGAATACCCCTTAAGGAACGAAGTCGTGAGCAGTCTCAAGTGCGTGAACTAGCTCTAAAGGCACGAATTCCGATGAGGTCTTTGCCCCCCTACCCTTTTAGCAAGGGGTACTTCATTTCCAGCAAAAAAGAAATCCTTACACACAAGAAAAATATATACAAAAATGTACATCAGCAACGTAATAAAAAAAAATAGTTTCTAACAATAGATTGATACAGTCAAATAAATAAAAAAATTCTAAACCACATAGAAAATTCTCAAAGAACACGTGGAACCATAAATATCAAGTATAAGCGTGACTCGTGCCAAAAGCTAGTTCGTAAAGCAATGTCACTGCCTGGCAAAGCACCCTCAGTTTTATTTTCTTTAAAGTTAGATTAAAGACCAGTTTAGTTAAACTCAATATCATTAAAGAGGATGGCAATCGTCGGTTTCACGCGCCACACCAATGAAGAGCATCTGGCACAGCCCTGAAGATGATCGAGGATTAATTTCGACCACCCAAGGATCTTTTTGTGCGCAATCGAAATCTCGGTCACACTCGCCTTCTCCACGACGAGCCTCCGTCGGATTTGCCGGTTGGCTCGATGCATCGCCGCAATCCGAGCACCCTCCGCAACTGGGCTGCCCGCAAGGCATCTCCGACCGGCGCATCTGCCGCATCCTCGTTTCCAATTAATATCAATAATGATACTAATAATAATAGTTTATTCCTCTATCTTGGCTAGACGATGCCACTACGATGTTTCACCGATGTCCGTCGTGGTACCCCAAAGTGGTGGATTTTGAGTTCGAGGCCAATACTGCTTTATGTCCAATATATTCTACAGGTTTTGTCGCTCATTTTAATTCAAGCGACGGCCAATTTAATCCGAGTGCCACCCAATTTAATTCTTGCGCTACCGAATTTAATCTCGGGGTCAGTCATTTTAATCCACAATATGTATATGCACTTATTGTCTTCTTGAACGACCTCAAAGACGACGCCTAGAGGACGACGTCTAGGGCGACCTCCAAAACGAACTCAAGGACGACTTCTAGGAAGACCACGAGGACGACGATTAAGACGACCTCGAGGACAATGGCCAGGGCGACCTCAAGGACGACTTCAGGGACGACCTTGAGGACGACCTCAAGAACGACGTCTAGGACGACCTCAACGATGATGTCTAGGACGACCTCAAGAACAACTTCTAGAACAACCTTGAAGACGACGTCCTCTAGGCGTCGTTCTCAAGGATGTATTAAAAGTCGTCCTAGACGTTGTCCTTGAGGTCGTCCTCGAGATCCGTCTTTAAGGTCGTCCTAGGTGTCGTGCTTGAGGTCGTTCTAGACGTTGTCCTTGAGGTCGTCCTAGATGTCGTCCCTGATGTTGTCCTAGGTGTCGTCCTTGAGGTCGTCCAAGAAGTTGTTCTTGAAGTCGTCCCAGACGTCGTCCTTAGGCATCGTCCTAGACGTCGTCCTTAGGCATCGTCCTCTAGGCATCGCCCTAGACGTCATCCTCTAGGCATTGTCCTAGACGTCGTTAAAATAGCTTCGCTAGTCCTCCATCTTCACGTGAAGTGAAAGGGCTCTACAGTTTTTCCATTAATATTCGAATCAGAGATTGTTTACCTCGAAAGTATCGCAGACACCAAAGGGAGCCGTCGGACAAGGGGAAGGGCTCACTGGAAGGACTTCTGGTCCGACGCCACCCTCTGGCGTCCGCAGTAATTGAAGGGAAGTATAAAGTAACTCAAAAGTAACTAGAAGTAATTGAAAAGTAATCAAATCATCAATATAGTGCATAATTATTAAATTGGCTGTATAATGACCCAAAGTAATCAAAATACTGGCTCAATAGCAGCTCAAACCATTTTAAAAGGTAATCATAATTGCAAATTTAGCTTATAAGAACGTAATTGGTTCGATTTAGCTCAAAGTAATCAAGAGTCATGAAACTCAATTAAGCCGAACTAATGTTTGTTGGCTCAATAGTAACTCAAAATAATCAAGAGTAATTGCAATGAAAATTGAGCTCATGACAGATAAATTGGTGGCGCAATAACTCCAAGTACTTAAAATTGTCACCAATACGTCAACTGCGCGGATTTAAAGCACATTGGGTTAAGAGTAAATAAAAGAAATTAATCCTCATGTCAATATGCCCACAATACATCAATTGATTGAAAATTATAAGAAAATAACCAAGCGTCATTACAATGTCAATTAAGCCAAATTAAAATTAATTGGGACAAAAGAGTAATAAAAATGTGAATCAAGCTCTTCAAAGACCAATTGGTTGAATGTGACCTCAAAGTATTCAGAAGAGTTACCAAGTCGTGAAATAGGACAAATCCATTGGGTCAAGGTTACACAAAGTAATCAGAGAGTAATCATAATATAAATTATGCTCATAACAAATAAGTTTACATGAAGATAAGCTCAAAGTAATCAAAAGAGTCATCCCAATGTAATTTTGGTCGAATTCAAGTCCACTGGGTTAAAATAACTCAGTGTAATCAAACGAGTAGTAATAATGTCCACAGAGTTGATTGTAGATCAATGGGACGTATAATAACACGAAGTGATCAAAAGAGCAGCCAAAATGTTCATTAAGCCGAATTAAAGTCTATTCGGTCAATAGTAACTTAAAGTAATCAAACAAGTAATTGTGATGTAAACTGAGCTAATAATAAATTTTTTGTTAAATATTAGCCCAAAAAATCAAAACAGTCATCGCAATATCATTGAGGCCAAATGAAAGTCATTTGGATTGAAAGTAACCCAAAGTAATCAAGACTAATAATAATGTATGATTGAACTCACATCTAATAAATTCACACTATAATTACACAAAGTAAAGAAGAGTCACCAAATGTCACTTGGGCCGAATTAAAGTCAATTGAATTGAGAGTAACTCAAAGTAATCAAGAGTAATCATAATGTCAATAATCATAACATAAAAATTTAATTTGTTGAAGATTAGCTAAAAGTAATGAAGAGTCATCACAATTACATTTATTTTGAATTTATGGCCAATGGGTCAAAAGTAACTTGAAGTAATCAAAAGAAGAATAATAATGTCAACTGAAATCATTATAAACCAACTGGAGCAATAATAAAACGAAGTAACAAAAAATTGCAATTGTACTTATATCATCTGAACCGTAGCAATGCTAAGTCGAGTAATAAGGAAGGTTAAACAAAACGTTCATTCAGCTAAAATAAATTCGAGCATGCCACAATAACTCGAGATTACAAAAAGAATAATCAACATAATAACTAAGCCTCGTCAATAGTGGGACTAGTAACAAGTAATCACAATAGTGATCAAATGATCACTTGTCCCCTTAAAAATCTAACTGTATAAACAAATACTCTAAGTTACCAAATGTGTAAGCAAAACACAACCACCGGAGAAAATAAGTGCATCAATATATTGTGGATTAAATTGACTGACCCCAGGATTAAATTGGGTAGCACAAGGATTAAATTACGTGGCGCTTGGATTAAATTTTGTGGCACTTGGATTAAATTGGCCGTCACTTGGATTAAAATGACCAAGAAAACTTGTAGTCAAACATTGAATGGTGTTTCTTAACCTTTCACTGCCGTTGCAACCGCGCTCGAACGTAAATCCTACTGAACTCGGGAAGGTCGACCTCGAGCTTTCACTTGTTCACCTCTACAAGGCTAATTTTAATTTTTTAACCATCTACGGAATTTGACC